TGTAGTTCTGGCCTCATCAGGCATGTATAATCAGGTTCTCCCCTGGTTCTAACGTGTCGCTGGCTTAAAATGTGCCATGTGTCCCAGAACTGTTCAGAATGCCTCAGATGTCCTCTTATGACAGTCAAGGACGTGGAAGCAGTACCCTCTGGATGCCATGCTTCAATAGATGCAGTGTGCGATCGTATTCCAGGTCAAAACCAAAGCCAGTGCCATCAAGTTGACACCAGCTCATAGGGAACCTGCATAGGGTTTTTGGGGCTTTCTAAATCTCTATGGGAGCAGATAGCCTGATCTTTTTCCCGAAGAGCAGCTGGTGGATTTGAACTTTCCATGTTATGGTTAGGAGTCCAACACTTACTCAAGAGCACCACGAGGGGCAGACAGATCAGAGCACAGAGAGGAGACCCTGAGCTTGCACTTCGCTCTGCGCATTATGTGCAGCATCAGCAGTTGGCTTCCCTCAGCTCCACAGCCAAAGCTTTGTACAGGAACTTACTGAGATAGGGTTCACCTAACATCAGATCAGCGGTGCTATTGTGAACAACACACTGGCCTGTGGTGTATTCACAGCATGTGCGCCTGCCTCTACTTCCCTCCAGGCTTCCCTTTGTTCCCAAGGAAGAGTCTAGCCAGTAAGCAGTTTCTCCTCCTGCCCCTTCTCCCGTTCCTGGTGCCTACCACCCTGTATTCTTTCTGTCTGCCTGCAACACTCTGAATACTCCTCTAGCCCGTGACCTCGGGGTCTGGCTGCTTTCACTTAGCGTCCTGTTCTGGAGGGTCGTCCATGTGGTAGACTGTATCGATATTGTACTCCTCTCCGTGGCTGAGGTCGAGTTGGTCCTGACTCCGCGACCCTACGTACAACAGAAGGAAGCAGGCCCAGTTGTGCGGCATGCTCCTGATAGTTAAGTGTGACTCAGTACGACAGCTCTTCTCCCTGTTTGCTGACCTTCTGCTTGACCAAGCACGATGTCCTTTTCCAGAGGCTGGTCTCTCCTGATAGACAACATGCCCAAAGTAGTGTCACCATACTCCCTTCTCTAGAGCGTTCTGGCTGTACTTCCGAGACAGATTTCTTGGTTCTTTTTTTTTTAAATCATTTTATTGGGGGCTCATACAACTTTTATCACAATCCATACATCCATCCATTGTGTCAAGCACTTTTGTACATTTGTTTCCCTCCTCATTCTCAAAACATTTGCTTTCTACTTGAGCCCGATTTCTTGGTACTTCTGGGAGTCTGTGGTATTTTAGTAATGACACTTATGAGTTAATATTTGCAAAGCGTGTGTGTAGGTTTGTATTGCTGTAGTAAAATTGACCTTATTAAGTCTACGTAAACCGTTATCACAGTTGAGCTGTGTGATGAACTCCATTTAAATTTCCTGTCTCGCACAGCTCTTGATTAATCATTACTCTTCACTTTGTTTTCTTTGTACACATCATTCTTTTATACTTGAGTTCTTGCCCAGTTATCCAAATTTCCTTTCAGATGGTCGGAAGAGTCAGCTATTGCTTCCATTCTGTTTCCTCCAAGAAGGTGTGCCGGGTCCCTGTACCCTGCTGGGGCCCAGGCCGCGCTTCTTTCTCCTGCAGTGAAGCCAGCCTCCTGTGGGTTTCCCTGACCTCTGCATGCTGGGGCATCCTGGATCCCTTGCCGGCCTCTCTCACTTAGCTCCCTCTTTGTCGTAAGGCACATCCTTTCTTAGTGTCCTGGGAGGTCCATGGGAGGGTACATCTCTCAGGCTGTGCTTGGCTAAAACTCCTGTATGACTTTGTAACTGAAGAGTTAGGCTGCATGTGGAGCCTTGTGTGGGATTCGCTTCTCCTCAGAACTCTGAAGTCACCATTGCGTTTTTTTGTTCACAGAGTTAGTTCACTGCTGATATGTTGAGAGCTGGTACCGTTCTTCTACACAGGCGCATATAAAGTATCTGTCTAGTGTCAAGACGGCGTTCAGTAGAATAAGCACCACAGAGAATGCCCTCCGTCGTCGCACGCTGGGGCTTGATGCTGTGCCCCCCTTCGTGGCCGTGCCTCTCCCTCCCAGACGTTCCCATGTCCCGCATTTGGGATTAACCTTTTCCTTTCTTGTTCCTTCCTTGAATAGTGTACCACTTAGTCTGTATCCTTCGGAAATAAATGAATGGTATGAATTCCAGTCACTCTCCTCCCTTTCAGACTTACACGCTATCTTAGTTGTTTTTGAAATCTGCCCAGGCTTTGCGGTCGTGACGTGATTTTCGTGTTTAGCATGGCACACCTACGCTTCAGTGTCTTATGCCTCAGGTGTCACTGGGAGTGTTACTGTTCCCTTGTCTAAAGAACAAAGGACCAAAAGGTGGTGGTTGAGACTACACAACACCGCGCACCTCGTCAGTCACTCCTCCGCGCAGTCAGCCGCGGTGATGGCATCCTCTCCACCTTTTTTGAGCTCTTCTCTCCTGTTGATGTCCACTCTGCTCTCTAAGCTTCCAGTCTTATCCCTCAGCGTGCTGTTGCCAGTGGAATCCCAGGTGATAGTTCTTAAAAGAGCACCGTAGTAGATCTTCCTAAGGAATCAGTCGAAAGAACTGTTGTGTAAAGACTCCAGGGGCTATTTTGGGGTTAAGGTTTAAAGAGGAACTCAAGTTCATCTGGCTTCCATGAGAATGGGGTGAGTGTACAGAGTAAATTGATTTTTCTGACATGTTTACAGCTCACGTCCACCTCCCTGTGTGCAGTTTCCGTGTGCACCTCTGTCCTCTCCCTCCTGCTTTCTGAGCTTTATTCCCTGTATCCCACCCCACCCCCACCCTCGGCAGGCAGGCAGGCGCCTTTGGCTCTGGGAGGGGAGGTGGATTGTTAGAGACGGCCCCTCCCGGGTGTCACTGTTCCCGTCAGGCATGAAGGTGGAACCCAGGGTTTCTCATCATTTCCAACAGAAGGATCTGCACAGACCTGTTTCCTCACACTGTTGCAGATGGAAGATGGTGCTGCTGAACTTGCCTGGAGGCCTTTAAGATGCAGAGATGTGATTTGCTGGGGAAGGAAACAATTTTGTAGACAAGGAGGCTGTCAGGATCTCAGGGCATTTTCTCTTGGGAGGAAGTTAAGCCTTTGGGCTAGTTCTTGAGAACAAGTGGTCGGCGGAGGTCACCCAGCCCTAGTCAGTGGAAGAAGCAGATCCCTCCTTAGGACTGGGACCCAGGGAAAGGACTGGCGGTTCCAGACCCAGAACCCTAGGGCCAATGCTCTAAATGCTTGCTACTTTTTGGGCACCTCTCTTCCAGCTGCCTGTAGGCTCCACCTACTGGCCACACCCAACCCCCCCCACCCCCACTCCCGGGAGAGGAGCCTGGTTTGCAGGGCTCCACCAGAGGTATGGAGGGCGAGAGGGCCAATCCCTGTCAGCCGTGAGTCCAGACCTTTACAAAGCTCTCTTCCCCACGTGGCTTGCTTGTATTAATTGATGAAGTGATCAAGGCTTCTCCCTTTCTCCTAGAATATAAAATATTACCAGGGTATCCGGGCTGCTGTGGGCAGGGTGAAGGAGAAGGGACAGAAGGCCATCGTTCTTGACATTGGCACCGGCACAGGACTCTTGTCGATGATGGCTGTCACGGCTGGCGCTGACTTCTGCTACGCCATTGAGGTGAGCTACACCGGCCAAGTGTGTGTCCTGTGTCTGCTGCAGCAAGGCCGGGGCACTACTTGCGTGTCCCCCTCCATTTGCTTAGCGACCCAAGCCCAGGCACGTCCTGTTGCTGAGGACTATGGGGACTCGGACACAATGCTTATCTTCCAAAGGCAGTGTGTCCCAACCTGGACTGCACATCAGAGTCACCCGGGAGCTTCCCCAAATGCCTCTGTCTAGGCCACTCACAGGGACTCGGGTGTTTGTGGGGGCGGGCTGGATGCTGGGTTTCATGTGTGCTGCCTGGGGTGGGGTGGGGGACACACATCACTGTCTTAAATACCCTTCCAGAGCCAGCTCCCCTCTTGCACGTAGCATTTCAATCTGCCATTTTCTTTTTTTTTCCTTAATAGAACATTCTTAACCAGCTTGTTTTCTGACATGTAAACATTCAGCAGTTATCCATCCCCACCCCCACCTTAAACATGAAACTTGCTATTTACTGATAATGTAAATGATGCCTATCTCTATGGTAAATTTAGTAAGTTGAATATAAAAAGTAGCCTGCTAAACCAAGTGAACTGCTGGTGGACCTTGGCCCATTTCCCTCTGGGTCCTTTGAGAGCTGGATTCAGTCTCCTACAAAATTGGGTTGATGTGCCCTGGGGAACTACAATGACCAGGTCCAAACTAACAGTGCCTCACCTTGTTGTTTTGAACCAGGCAAAGGCTTATCGTTTCAGTCAGCAGTTCATGGACGTGCTGATCCAGCTCATCCATTGCAAGCCCCTGATGGTACCCTCACTGGTCCCTCTTCCTCCCTGTTTCTTCTTTCCATTTCTCCCCCTCTGCCAAGCCTCTGAGCTTTGTCTCTGGGCACATGCTGGCCTTTGCATCTGAAGCAGTGGGTCCTCCTATTAGGGAGGTGAATTCAGTTCTAGACTCGAACCGTTCATAGTCCTGGTGATCCTAACAATCCCCATCCGACGGTAAGCCTGGGCTCTTGTGATTTTGAGTTCTGTCGTACATTTTTCTCCCCCATTCTATCCAGGACCTGAGGTGATCCTTTTCTGGGCACTTGGTAGTGGTAGCCAGGCACCATCTAGTTCTTGTCTCGGGTTGTGGAGACTGATACTCTCATGGTCCATCAGCCCATTGAACGAATTGTTTGCACCTGTCTTTCAAGGTTCATCCCTCTTCTTGCTGGATGGTGAGAGACCAATAGTTGTACCTTAGATGGCGGCTCACAAGCTTTTAAGACCCCAGTTGCTACCAAAAATAGGATGTAGTAGATTGTCTTTGTGAACTGTGGATCTTGGTGTTCAGAAAAGGTTTTGGAGAGGGTGACAGGAGCCCTAGTGGCGTACTGCTAGTACAGTGCTTGGCTGTAACTGAAAAGCTGGCAGTTCGAAACCATCACTGTTTCACTAGAGAAAGGCGTGGTGTCTGCTTCTGGAAGGAGTTTAGCCTTGGAAACCCAGCAGGGCGTTTTGCTGCCTTACAGAGCTGTCGCGAGTTGGAGTGTACTCAGTGGCCGTGGCCTTGGGACCCTTTTTGCTTGGCTGGTGGACGGGGGCGACTCCAGCATGCTGCTGACACTGGGGGCATCTGCAGGGCTTGAGCACCAGCCATGGGGGACGCAAGGCGGAGTCCGGAAGCTGGGCCATGGTGTGGAGGGCCTTGAATGGTGTCAGGACGGGTGCAGGGTGGGGTCAGCAGTGGGGATTCTAGGTGGTTCTGAGCAGGGGTGCTCCTACTACCAGACTCAGTTCTTTGTTGAGCACAGCATTGGTCTCAGGCCCCCAGACATCCCAGCCACAACTGGACCCCTCTGGTGTGGCCCTGACCCTTGCCCTCCTCACCTGGGGCCCCCCCAACACCCCGCTATGCTGGGCCTGGGGTGGGAGTTCATAGTGCTAGCTAGCCTGTGCCCCTTGGTCTTCATCTCCAGGATTCGTCTGGATACCACCCAGATGGCCTCTTAGCACCCAAGGACTATTTTCCCTTCACCCTCAACCCAGCCCTACAGAAAGTTCATGGACAGATGGAATCTGAAGGGAATAGATTTTCCAACAGGCTTTTGGAAGCCCCCTTTGTATAGTCTAGTTTTTTGACTCTCAGGACCAGGTTCTGGGAATGTCCCTTGAGCCCTGGCAGTGGGGCGTTTCTCCTTTTGTTGCTCTGTTTTAGTTGAGTGTTTGCTCTGATTTCTAGGTTTTCAAGCCTATGGCTGATGCTGCTGTGAAGATAGTGGTGAGAAATGGCTTTCGTGATAAGATTCAGATTATCAACAAGCACTCTACTGAGGTCACGGTGGGGCCAGGTGAGAGCAATAGGCCCTGGGCCTTATCTCCTGCGGAGCGGCTGGTGTGGGAGTTCAAACCGCTGACCTTCTGGTTAGCGGCCGAGCTCACCAGGCACTGTGCTGCCAGGGCGCGTTTGCTGTGCACATTCTCCTGGTCTGCCGCTTGCTCCTGACTGTGGTTCCTTGTGCTTCACAGAGGGGGACATGCCGTGCCGCGCCAACATCCTGGTCACAGAGCTGTTCGACACGGAGCTGATCGGGGAAGGGGCCTTGCCCTCCTATGAGCACGCACACAGGCACCTCGTGCAGGTGGGGACTGATGGGGCTCCTTGGGTGTACTGCTGTGGACCCCCTAGTCCCACAGCGCCATTCATACCCACTGAACACGGTCCCCGGACCTGGCCTTCCACCCTGAGATCCCTCCATTTCTGGCAAGCCCCCGCCCCCCCACCTCGGTAGTGACTGCTATGTCCCTTGAATGCCAAGCTTTGGGAGGTGAGGGTTGAAAGGTACGAAGCCTTCTCCATGTGCAAGTCAGTTCAGCTCACAGTCTGGAGTTTGGCCCAGGGGCGAGGGCATCTGCAGTCAGCAAAAAGGACAAAATCAAGGGGAATGCCAGTGACTTTTGCTTCTATTTCTCCACGAACTTTCTGAAGCCCCTCTTCTAAGATACTCCTCTTGCTACTAAGCTGCCCAATCACCAGGGAGGTGAGGATCTGAGGGCTGAAGGGACAGGCAGATGAAAGCATCAGAACAATAGGGGAAGGACTGGCGGAAAGGTCGGGTCAGGAGGAGAGCGCATGTGGGCCCAAGCGCCTGGGTGAGGACAGCGTAGAATCCGACAGGTGCTGAGGCAAGGGATAGGGGGTTCGGGTGGGGGTGGGGGGTGTCTAAGTATGAGGCCAGTGAGCACTGCCTGGAAGTCCTGGCACTGATGGGGAACGGGGTGGCAGGAGGAAGGCGAAGGTGCCGGGGAAGAGGTGTGCTCCACAGACTCCCGAGGACTGAAAATGTTCGCCCAGAGCGTGTGGCCTGGCGTTTTTGTGGTCATGACCTAGGCAAAGCCCTGCCTTGTCTGCTGACACTGCCTGCTGGCCACCCTCTGGGTGCCCTGGGGCCGGCCCACCAGCCAGGAGCCCTCGTCCTGTCCCCAGCCCACCCACCTCCGGCAGCAGGTGACATGGTTGCTCCCGCCCAGTGTGGTGAGATGGTGCATCATCTCTGAAGTTGGGGGCCCACCCAAAAACCAGATTCAGGGCGAAGGTTTTCTCCGTTAGAATCCCTGACTGAGTGAGTGCCCTGGAGAGGGAACACGTGTTCGGATCACGGTGGTGTCCAGTGTCTTTTTCTCTAATTCGCCCTGTTTAGAAGGGCAGGGTTGGTCTGGCAGGTAAGTGCTCCAGCTGAGAAGCCTCGGACATACTTGGAGAGGACGCTGACTCGGGGCGCTTATCACACCCTGCACCCACAGGCAGCCCTCCACCCACACACCCTGCACAGAGGGGAAGTCCAAGGCCTGAGAGAGTGTGTCGGCAGCTAGGCAGGAACTTGTGTTGACCCAAGTGAGACCCATGGTCAGTGGTCTCCGGGTGACTCTGGAGGCAAATTGGCAGCACAGGCAGTTGTCTGTGGGTTTTGCTATACAAGGTGGTGAGCTCTGAACAGCAGCTGCTGAAGGGCCACGGCAGTGAGGCTGGACCTCTTGCTTCCCAGTCTGTGGGTAGTGAGGCCGCTTGAGATGGTCAGGTTTCTTTGCGAAGCTTTCTTTCTGTGTTGTCAGGAGCTAGATGCCTCTCTGGCATTGGGGCGTGTGTGTGTCCTTTTGAAATCTAGCTCTGTTTTTTGTTTTCAAGGTTTGAACAGAAAGAGTGATTTTATTTTAAAAGTCCCAAGGGCCTTAGTCTGAAAGTTCTAGTTCTGTTTTGTTTTCTCTAGAGCAGGTGTCCTCAAACTACGGCCCGCCGGCCACAT